TTTTTTTAAGAATCGATTTCAAATATTTGTACTTTATTTACTGCGATAGATGGTTAAAATTGATTCATACTGATTTTTCCTTTATTTTTAAAACAAAACAGATATAAAGTTGTTGAATGTTGAGTGGAAAACAGTGTTTAGTCTTTTCGTTGAATAGGTCAATCCCCTTTTGCCTATACCTTCGTCTACAAAGTTTTCCGGTCTCAAACTCGCTTTAAATTACGATCCCCAACCGGGAACCATTAAAACTTACCAAAGGTTGTTATCAGAGTTGCCAGTACGATAAACTACTATGATACGAATCACTCCCACTCAACTGACTAACAAATAAGCACAGAAAATGTTAAAAACTTAAATTATCTGTTTGTATAAAGTTGTAAATAAGTAATAAAGTAAACCATCGATATAACGAGCTTCCTTTTTTCAAGTTGTTGATGGTAATACTGGGGAATCTGAGCATGTTACAAAAAAACTTTTAAGACGAAAGTTGTAGAAAATTGTATGCATAACAATATTATTCTTTCGCACTTTTGCTCTCAGACTCATAGATACCGATCCATAGACGAAAATTTGACGAATTATTTGTTTCTTTAAGTTGATGGTAAGACTAGGGAATCTGAGCATGTTACAACACAACTTTTAAGAAAAAAGTTGTAGAAAATTTTATGCATAACTTTTGCACTTTCGCTCTCAGACCCATAGATACCAATACATACACGAAAATTTGACGATTTATTTGTTTTGTTAACTTGTTGATGGTAGGACTAGGGAATCTGAGCATGTTACAAAACAACTTTTAAGACAAAAGTTGTAGCATAATTTATGCATAACAATATTATTCTTTTGCACTTTTGCTCTGAGACCCATAGATACCAATACATATACGAAAATTTGACGAATTACTTGTTTTTTCAAGTTGTTGATGGTAAGACAAGGGAATCTGAGCAAGTTACAAAACAACTTTTAAGACAAAAGTTGTAGAAAATTTTATGCATAACAATATTATTCTTTTGCACTTTTGCTCTCAGCCTCATAGATACCAATACATAGACGAAAATGTAAAAAATTGACGAATTACTTGTTTTTTCAAGTTGTTGATGATAACACTGGGGAATCTGAGCATGTTACAAAACTACTTTTAAGACAAAAGTTGTAGCAAATTTTATGCAGAACAATATTATTCTCTTGCACGTTTGCTCTCAGACCTATAGATACCAATACATAGACGAAAATTTGACGAATTACTTGTTTTTTAAAGTTGTTGATGGTAAGACTAGGGAATCTGAGCATGTTACAAAACCACTTTTAAGACGAAAGTTGTAGAAAATTTTATGCATAACAATATTATTCTGTTGCACTTTTGCTCTCAGACCCATAGATACAGATACATATACGAAAATGTGAAGAATTACTGACTTTTCAAGCTGTTGATGGTAAGACTAGAGAATCTGAGCATGTTACAGAGCAACTTTTAAGACAAAAGTTGTAGCAAATTTTATACATAACAATATTATTCTTTTGCAGTTTTGCTCTCAGATCCATAGATACCAATAAGTATAGACACGAAAATTTGACGAATTACTTGTTTTCTCAACTTGTTGATGGTAGGACTAGGGAATCTGAGCAAGTTACAAAACAACTTTCAAGACAAAAGTTGTAGCATAATTTATGCAAACAATATTATTCTGTTGCACTTTTGCTCTCAGACCCATAGATAGCAATACATATATGAAAATTTGACGAATTACTTGTTTTTTCAAGTTGTTGATGGTAATACTAGGCAATCTGAGTAAGTTACAAAACAACTTTTAAGACAAAAGTTGTAGAAAATTGTATGCATAACAACATTATTTTCTCGCACTTTTGCTCTCAGACTCATAGATACCGATCCATATACGAAAATTTGACGAATTATTTGTTTCTTTAAGTTGATGGTAAGACTAGGGAATCTGAGCATGTTACAAAACCACTTTTAAGACGAAAGTTGTAGCAAATTTTATGCATAATAATATTATTCTGTTGCACTTTTGCTCTCAAACCCATAGATACAGATACATACACGAAAATGTGAAGAATTACTTGTCTTTTCAAGCTGTTGGTGGTAAGACTAGAGAATCTGAGCATGTTACAGAACAACTTTAAAGACAAAAGTTGTAGCAAATTTTATGCAGAACAATATTATTCTCTTGCACTTTTGCTCTCAGACCCATAGATACCAATAAAAATACGAAAATTTGACGAATTACTTATTTTTTCAAGTTGTTGATGGTAAGACTAGGGAATCTGAGTAAGTTATAAACAACTTTTAAGACAAAAGTTGTAGCAAATTTTATGCATAACAATATTATTCTCTTGCACTTTTGCTCTGAGTCATAGATACCGACACAGACGAAAATGTGAAAATTTGGTGTATTACTTGTTTTTTCAAGTTGTTGATGATAACACTGGGAAATCTGAGCATGTTACAAACAACTTTTAAGACAAAAGTTGTAGAAAATTGTATGCATAACAATATTATTCTCTCGCACTTTTGCTCTCAGACTCATAGATACCGATCCATATACGAAAATTTGACGAATTATTTGTTTCTTTAAGTTGATGGTAAGACTAGGAGAATCTGAGCATGTTACAAAACCACTTTTAAGACGAAAGTTGTAGCAAATTTTATGCATAATAATATTATTCTGTTGCACTTTTGCTCTCAAACCCATAGATACAGATACATACACGAAAATGTGAAGAATTACTTGTCTTTTCAAGCTGTTGGTGGTAAGACTAGAGAATCTGAGCATGTTACAGAACAACTTTAAAGACAAAAGTTGTAGCAAATTTTATGCAGAACAATATTATTCTCTTGCACTTTTGCTCTCAGACCCATAGATACCAATAAAAATACGAAAATTTGACGAATTACTTATTTTTTCAAGTTGTTGATGGTAAGACTAGGGAATCTGAGTAAGTTATAAACAACTTTTAAGACAAAAGTTGTAGCAAATTTTATGCATAACAATATTATTCTCTTGCACTTTTGCTCTGAGTCATAGATACCGACACATAGACGAAAATGTGAAAATTTGGCGTATTACTTGTTTTTTCAAGTTGTTGATGATAACACTGGGGAATCTGAGCATGTTACAAAACTAGTTTTAAGACAAAATTTGTAGCAAATTTTATGCATAACAATATTATTCTCTTGCACTTTTGCTGTCAGAGTCATAGATACCGACACATAGATGAAAACGTGAAAATTTGACGAATTACTTGTTTTTTCAAGTTGTTGATGATAACACTGGAGAATCTGAGAATGTTACAAAACAACTTTTAAGACAGAAGTTGTAGCAAATTTTATGCATAACAATATTATTCTTTTGCACGTTTGCTCTTAGACGATACCTACGATACATACAGGTTGTCCGGTATCTTCCGCATCAGAGCGTTTAACGACGACCAATGATTCATTTGATTAATCGAAAAAGTTTATTTCTCTTTCCATGACGAATCTATTGGTGAGTACACGTGGGAAACGAGTTATCATCGGCGTAGCGGACCGGCCGAGGGGGCACCGATTACCTGAGTCTGTTTAAACATTACAACAGTTCGTTTAAACAGTTTCCGTGCGGTTATTATAAACATTTCGAAAAAATTTTATTAGAAAGATCGTTTCAGAATAATGTATCCTACAACCGTATAATGTTCTGATACGGAAGATACCGGACAGCCTGTATAGGAAAATGTGAAAATTTGTCGAATTCCTTATCTAGCAGTCTTAAGATGTACGGTTAAACCCGAATGTTTCTAGTTCTAGGTTTACTCTTAGTTCTAGTGCTAATTCAAACAATTAAAACTAGCACTAGACCTAGAACTAACGGGTTTAACGCAACATAACGGGTAGGGTTGGGTTGAAAACTTTCTAGTTCTAGGTCTAGTGTTAGTTCTAGTGTTAGTTCTAGTTTTAATTGTTGTTCAACGCTGACGTCACGAACGGGCCTTCGAGCTGTGCAGTTATGCTCGAGATGCTGAACGAAACGATGTGAATAACTGTCCGACTTTTTGTGCATTAAAATTATTCATATAACGGACACTCTCTTCCCCGTATTAATCCGATATATCGAAGTTTTACTGTAATTTGATATAAAAACTTGCTTTAATTTCTCTAAATAAAGATTTTTTGAAATTCTCTCATTTTTTGTTAAAACTTGTATAAATGTATAACAATGCAACTGACCCATTTTTCAGTTCAGAAAACTCTAGTAGCGGATGTAAAAAACAATTCTCGAGTGGAAGACACGAAATTTATCGTAGGAAAAGGTTACAGAGAAAAGAGATGCCGGGAGAGAATAAAAACGACCTGAAAAATTACCGTCGGCGTTTTATGAAATCCAACAACAAATAGGTCAGCGTTTAAAAATTAAATTCCACTCAAGGGGTTATTTTTCCTCTTGGCGAACTTTCATAATATAAAATAGGTTTTAAGCCCGACGAAATAAAATAGCCATGGACGGAAGGCACCACGAGACGAAGAAGACGTTTTAATTAAAAACTTTTTCTGGGCGAAAGGGTGAGAGAAACGTCGACCTCGACGAACAAAGCTTCGTGCCCTTTCTGCATTTGTACTAAACAGATGGAGATCTCTAGAAATTGAGGAAATACTAATTTTCAAAACCGAATCGAGTTGCTTTTTTAATTAGACCACTCCATTGAAATTCAATTATAAGTTATTAAGTTAAACAAGGCCAAAAGTTTTTATATAGATATCAATAGCAAAAAGATTTCGTGCCAAATGAAAAATATTTCAATTTATCATTTTAAATTAAAGACAACGTGAAGCGATCTCACCCGCAATAAAATTATACATTCGGTTCTTATGGGCCATTAGATTTGAATTTAAAATAAGGCACTTATACATGTTTTACTTGCATTTTAGCAATTTTTATTCCCGTTCCCAACGATAAAACCGGGTAAAACGCAAACGAAGACAATTTTTACAAGTTTTTACTTACGTTTCTAAAATCGATAAGTTGCGTTACGAGGGTGCCATCGGATCTTTGAAATTCAAGACTGACGGTGTCGAAGCTAACGTTAGCCGCTATGGTCTCTTGAACGACGTCCCCACCCTGAAAAACAAAGTTGCACTTATAAATAATTGCGAAACCGGTATGGATACGACGGAAAAGGCGTGGGTTGCGACCCAACTTTATTATTAATTGCGGGCGCAAACTCTGCGCCCGGTGTCAACTCAAAATTGGATTACCAACTGTAATGCCAACAATATCTACCTTGGGGGCGCTGGAACTCGGTTTTCTTATGGCCAGGACTTCGACAAACTTGCTAGGAGTGCCTCGAGGGGCGCAACCCCCGTCTTTCGAGAAGTTAAAATGCGCCATCCAAAAGGGGGAAAGAAACGTGGGACGGCGTTTCTGGGATTATTCAATATTTAGGTATTCCAATTTTAGATGTAGGAAGAATCTAACGTGGAAGGACTTGAATAAAAGTTTTAACATGTAGAAAAATTTCGATCCAAAACTAATAAAACAAATTGATACCATAAAAGTCCACCTTCATTTTATTTTCATTCCCTTCCAATTTTCCCCAATAACACACATTTCCTTTCAAATAATCATTTTTATTGGATAAACAAATTCAGTTTAATAAAAAAAAACAACACAACACAAAAATTCCTTTCAAAAACAATGTGCTAATGAACATTTTGTTTTTGAACTTTATTAACATTAGTAACCCAGTTCACGCCCTAGCAAAATGAAGAGGGTGTAATTTTAAAGGGGTAGTTTTCAACGATACTGTTGAAAGGTGCACCGAAAGCGACTCGGCAGGTAGAAAGTAAAAAACAGGAAACAAAAAAAATTTAGTACAATGACGTTTAGAAAATGCGCGTTCGTTCGTACTTTGATGTGTCCTCGCACAAAAGGTCCGGTTTTTCTGCACCTCGAAAAGCTTCTAGTTACGAGCGTATCGTTCGTTTGTCGACCCGGAGGGTTAAAACTGATTGTTACAGCCTCAATTTAAGTCGAAAAGCTCTACCGACCGACTTAACTAGGCGAAAACTTCCCGGTTTATCTGCTGCAAGGGACGTTTCTAAATGAATACGAAGAGAACCGAAGTAGGGACTATGATAATTAGATAGAGCAATTGGGATTTTTAAATGCATTTAAAAACATTTTTATTTACTAATTTAATAGGAATTTTAAAAAGTTCTTTAGTATTAAGAAATTAGTATTAAACAATTTTATCAAAGAATTGCTGAAAATAATGGGTAATGATTTATTCAAGAAATGAATAATTTCTTTAGAAATCACAATTTAACATTAAAATTTAATGTTGAGAATGCTAATTTAATAGGAATTTTAAAAAGTTCTTCTGTATTTTTTTTTTTTTCAATTAAACGCTTTACTCTAAAAATGTTATCAAAGAATTGCTGAAAATAATGGGTAATGATTTATTCAAGAAATGAATAATTTCTTTAGAAATCACAATTTAACATTAAAATTTAATGTTGAGAACGCTAATTTAATAGGAATTTTAAAAAATTCTTCTGTATTTTTTTTTTAACAATTAAGCACTTTACTCTAAAAATTTTATTAAAGAATTGCTGAAAATAATGGGTAATGATTTATTCAAGAACTGAATAATTTCTTTAGAAATAACAATTTAACGTTAAAATTTAATGTTGAGAACGCTGTGATCATATAACCATATCAGGAAGAAGATCAGTTCTAAATTAAATTTCTCAACGTCATTACAATGGTACACGCAATTCATATAGAAGAATTTAATGATCTATTCTATGAAGATATTGATGAATTATTAATCGACAAAGCATTAAAAAGAGATGAAATGCTAAAGATTCTTGAAACTCCTAGTCCCACAAAACGTAATGTTAATGAAGGAAACGTTTCTATTCTAATCCAAATGAGAAACGCGCTGGAAAGTTTCAAAGTGAATTGAAGTTGTAGACGACGTTAAAATAGTTGTATAACAGCTTAATCAAGACATGATCAACCTGATGCGACTTGCATCGCGAAATGATAAATCATGGAATATAAAGGACTAAGAAATTATTATGGAATTGAATAGGCACCGAATAGATCATCTAGATGAACAAAAGGAGAAGGTGATCCAGAAAATGTAGCAACTATGTATTGTTAGGGGATTTCAACATCAGGCTCGTCAATGATGCTATCGGCTGTGTAAAACAACGATAGAACAAAGAATGCTGCAGCTAAATAATATCTGCTTTCCAAAAATCAAGAATCAACATAAATCCATCTTCTCAAATATCAGTGCCCAAGAGATCCCTATGGAAATTGCATGACGTTACAAAAGAAACGACGAACAAAAGAATTAAATAAAGAAAAATACAATTTAGAATCCTTTGACAATGAGGGTACAAGGTCCCTGTATCAGAACAAACTTCGGAGAAAAATAAATAATAACAGAATTGCAATGACAGATAGTGTAGATGAGGTGTGGAGAAAAGTAAAGCGAAATATATATGAGGCACCAGAAAAATCTATAAGGAAAAGAAAACAGACCCACTGTCAATCTGTCATAATTTTTAAAATTCTATAGTATTTGAGAAAACAACTTTTTTCTGTTTTATCAACCTCATACAACGGTTCGATGATGTGAAATCACGTGAAATCAAAAGATGACTAAAGTTCGTAAAATAAAAATCAGTCGAACCCAGAATAACAATATTATCAGCCATATATAATAACAACTATACCAAGATTAAATTAGACGATGAACCAACACAGGAACTCCGGGTTGCATCAGGTATACGGAAAGGAGGCAACCTAAGTCCCTTGCTTATTTAAATTCATTATGGATAAAATCATCCAGAATGTTAAAGAAACAACATAGGAATATACCTTAGGAGCTGAAAAAAGAAAGATACTACACCACACAGATGATGCAGTACTTATTGCCGGCTGTTAAGATAATCTGCAGTAACAAATTTTATCAGACGATCACTAAAACATGGAAATATCATTACCAAAAACAATATTAATGACTATCGACAAAGACTCAATGCTTTGTAAACTCACAGGCAGTAAACGACTGGCAGGAACATAATTATCATAAACGAAGTGGATACAACAGTTGAACAAAGCCGGAAAGATCTCTGGGTGTTTAGGGGACGTAACATGGAAAAGCAAATCTATAACCACTAAAAGTATGGTGACATATGGAATTGAGATAAGAACAGATACAAGCACGTAGCAAACTTTCAGAACAACTGAGATGCGGTTGATAATATAATAGGTGTCGATAGGTATTAACCATTCCATGACTCCACCTTCACCAAACAGTACTATTTGTGTTTCATGAGCCATGTTGTATTTGTACAACTCAGGTAATGTGTTTAGGGTGATGGATTTCTTCCAGTTGATTTTTGATTTTAATGATGTTTCTAATGTTATCTTGAAAAACAGAGTTACGTTTCTTGGCAACAACGCTATTAAATGGTTTTCTCACCGGCAGAGTGTTGTAACGCCGACTCAGTGGGTCGTATTTGCGGACTTCCTTAATTGTCTTCAAGACATGTTAGTCTTAAAGAGTTTTGGATTGGAATCAGTAGTTCTAGCGTATTCCATCTTCTTTAATCTATCTTAATCTAGTTAATTCACCTTAACGTAGTGATATCCATAGAAATCCATAGATCGAAAAATAATCGTTGATATAATATCTAGCAGGGACGGAATAATGTCTTGGAATGCCATCTTGGTGGAAAAATAAGTCCTGCTTGAACTAAGATAACATTATCTTATACGATGTGGAAGAAATCCAGTTGGCCCCTTAAAAAAGTAAGTCTAGGAAAGAATTCTGCACTATTCGTATCCACAATGAGGAAGAAGAATAATAGAATTTTCTTTATTTACTTGTCGACTTATAAAATTGTCCTTCCTTCAGCGTCAAATTTTGTTAAATTTTATTCCATGATTTTTAAATTTAATCAAAACGTAACCTATGATACTTTGGCTAAGGAGTTGTTGATTAAGACATGTTGCATTACAAATTTAATGTCAACTATTGTACGAAACTTTAAACAACTTTATCTTTCACAACATAAATCTCCATATCTTAGAATTGAATAGCGTACGAAAAACAATAAATCAAAAGAAAATAATGATTTGCATTACATTAATTCCATATCAAATAAATAATAGAATTTCTTATTACACTGAACACGAGATAAAAGGAAGAGTTTTAAATTATTCTGATTACGGCATTATAGTTCAGGGGCTTTGTTAATTAAAGCATGCGTAAAGTCTAATTACCGGGTAAGCAGGTTTTATCATATTTTCGTGCTGATAGATGGAGGCAAAAGGGGGAGAGAATCGATAATAGAATACTGTTGCACATGCGAGAGGCATTCACGCACTGTAAGCTATTGCAGCCATAATATGAATGTGGTTTAACACATTGTATTATGATTGAAAATACCAACTGCAAACCTTTCATACCTCAGGAATAAAAGGTATGCTCAATTCGAAATTTTACAAAACCATATCTAATATTCAGATATTTACCTTTTTGAAACAAGATTCAAATCCATACAGATTCGCTACAATAGAGATATTCCTCGACGATTAAATATAATAGGAATTATCTCTCTATAAACTACGTTTCTAATTTTGAATAGCAACCAAACTCCACGGCTAACTAATAACTGCTAAAGCGGAAAGGATTACATCACCAAAGTGTCGCCAAAATATGCCATTTACGCATGGATATGAAAAGAAATAATTTTAAATAATGGAAAATTAAATGAAATTGAAATAAACAAAAAGAAAAATAAAGTTAAAAATTGCTGTAAAAATACAATCTATCTTAGTAAGTTCTATTTCTCTGCAATTAATTCAGCCTTTCAAAAATGTCGTATAAATCTGCCAGCTTTATTTAGAAAATTGGCCAAATATTCTGCATTTCGGTGTCTATCTCCTTGGGAAAAAAAATTACTTGGCCAAATTCTTCTATAATGCAACAAAGATTAAAAAAATCTTGCATTTAATGGATGAGATTTCATAAAATTTACCTTATCTACCGCATATTTTAACACCTGATTCAGTACAAAACTTAGACGCTTTGACGC